ATTGGAGTGGTTCCTTACAAAATCCATGTCTCTGAGGATGGTGAACTATTTGCAGTTGATGCAGTTAATAGCAACATTGTTAAGATTACTCCACCATTGTCACAATGTATGTCTCCAATTCTAGTGGGCATAAGATTATGCAGACATAAAGTCCAAGAGAACAATTTCCTTTATTATCTTTGTTTCCTGTAGCTCTTTGGTTGGTCTTTTTCATTTAATTGATGAATTAGGGAACCTTATGCTATGGATTAATTGGAATTATTTGGTTTCTTTGAATGCATTGGGTTCTTTTTATAACTTGGTTGTAATTTGAACTTATTTCAGATAGCAGGGGAAGATTGGCTGCTGGGTCATTTCAGGGTTCCACAGGGCATGTGGATGGAAAGCCAAGTGAAGCTCGTTTCAATCACCCCAAAGGTGTAACCATGGATGATAAAGGGAATGTGTATGTTGCTGATACCTTGAATCTGGCTATCAGAAAAATTGGAGATGCAGGTATATGCAGTTAGTAAGAGAGGCTTATTCAAATAATAGAATAGATAGTGGGATTTGAATTTTCTTGATATGTTTTCTCTTACTACACTGCACACCGTAAAGGAGTTCAGTAACTTCAGTTATAGATGCCAAATTGTTTTAAAATTTAAAACACAATTAAAATTGTTATATCAGAAATATTGAAGCTTTTTAAGGCTGGTTTGATACCCATCGCTGTAGAATGTGGCTGGAGAATGGAAGATATCTTGAAAAAGAAAGATCTGAATATGGGAATCATTTGCAGGAGTCACAACTATTGCCGGAGGGAAATCGAATCTTGCAGGGTATAGGGATGGACCTAGTGAAGATGCAAAGTTCTCAAATGACTTTGATGTTGTATATGTTCAACCGACCTGTTCCTTGTTAGTTGTTGATAGAGGAAATGCAGCTCTTCGGCAAATCTTCCTCAACCAAGATGATTGTGATTACCAGTACAGTTCAGTTTCTTCCACAGGTTGTGCTCCGTGTTATATGCTTTATATGTCTGTGGATAGACCTTCTGTTTAGTTGAATGCCTTTTCTGTTTTTAAAAGATAAGTTACTGTTTCTCAGTGAAAAGCTAGTAGCCTTATATCTAATCTCTAGCGTTTGAAGTTTAACTCCTTTGTTATGTTAAAGATAGTTGTGTTATGAAGAAGCTTCTATAGGGTACTCTTTGATAATTGGTTATTTAGCTAACATTCAAATTATTGAAATAAGGAGCAAAACTTGCCTCTAGGTTGGGGTACCATTTAACATAAGGCTGCCTTCTAGAAGTCATTTTATTATTAGTTGCTTGAGTGCTAGATTCCATGAATGTATGTCCATATTCCATAGCCATGCTTGACAATTCCATCTTGCCTGCAGAATAAAAGATAAATAGATAATCATAGTGCAATGTCCATGACTTCCTGATGCTTGACTATTGTAGTAATCATTAGTAATATCTTTTTACCCCACCCAAAATGAGAAAATGAAGAAAGAGAAGCAGAAACTTATTGACTTCTGTGATTGATCTAGGTTTATTGTGGTTTGATCTAGGTTTATTGTGGTTCTTTTAGCATTCTAGAATTCAGAGTGCATTACCACGTGCTGACTTGCTTATTGTTGCCTTTCTACAGATATCCTAATGGTTGTTGGTGCTGTCTTGGTTGGATATGCTACTTGCATGCTTCAGCAGGGATTTGGACCATTTTTCTCAAACCCGGTATGAGTCTCTCTTTGCAGTTTCAGTTGCAACATAGAATTTTGATGCCAACAACCATAACATAACCACTTTGATAATCCTGTGAAAGAGTTATTTATTTATTTATTTCTGTCCCAAGAAGATTCTCAAACTTAACATTGCAATTCTCTTCATAAATTTTTTACTGTAAAAATTTTAGCTCTGTTTTTCTCCTTATATACTTACTTCCAATTCCCCAAACATTTTCTATGAATAAGCTCCATTCTGTTGTGATGGTTTTCTAAATTGACCATTGTCAGGCAAGTACAAAAATTGAGCATAAAAGGTTTGGTTGTTGAAAACTAATAAAACCTTGGCAATCACACTGAAGTATCATTTCCCATGTCTATCTGACAACCAAACAGAGTCTGACGATCTGAGTCCTTTCTGCTACAATAATTTTAACATAATTTTTTGCTGAAATATGCACCAAGTTTACCATCCATTCATGTTTGCCGATGAGCTCTGCCATTCACATCATGGCTTTCCAATATGTCTGTTGTTGAGGAAGATGCAAATGGACAAATCTTCTGCTTTAACACCATTAACCATTTTGATGATTTTGGGAGGTCAAAGCATCTTACAATTTTCTGCTATAAAAAAGATGTCTGTCTTTGACTTTATAGATTTTCCTATATCATTTTTTTGTACCATCGCAAACATCTAATGCAATGCATATATTTATGCCACAGGAACCTTCACAGAGTGAATTCAAAAAAGAGACAAGGAAGGAAAAGCCCACTCCCATTGTCAAAAGCATGAAAGAGGAACCCGGATCGCCATCATTTGGCCAACTCATTATTGATCTGTCCAAGCTTGCACTTGAAGCAATGGGTAGAGCATTCCTTTACTTTGTCCCCTCTCGTTTCAGGTTTGGTGGCTCCAAGAAGGGTGGCTCCAAGAAGGGTCTCACACCATTGAAGAATTCCCTCGGGATGCCTGAGGCTGAAGCTCAGCCCGCAGTAGTACAAAGGGAAACTACTCCTGCCCCACTTTCTGAAACCCGGCCTACTCTTGCAGCCAATTCAAGTGATAAGTATTCAGAATCAAAGCTTCCCAAGATTAAATCAAGCAGTTTCAAAGAGCCTTCTTTGATAAGCAAGCACCGGTCCTCAAAACAAAAAGAATATGCAGAATTCTACGGATCTGGTGAAGTTCCTCCCTACATCAGGTCTAAGACCCAGAAAGACAGAACAAGACATCGCCAGCGCGATAAAAGCGCAGAGGTTGCATTTGGAGCAGGTGGGACAGAACCAAAACATGTTGAGATGAAGCCCTTGGATTATGATAATTCCAAGTTTGACCATTTTACTATGAGAAACAAGTATGGCTCTAATGATTCCTACCGTTTCTGAATTCCTTGCTACTACTAGGTGCTAGCAGCTTCCTTGCCCAGCTACCAAATTTCACCCTTCTCCTTTTAGTCCAAACTCTTGACCTTGAATATGTATTATTCCAGTTTCCCTCCATGCTTAGCATATATTAGCAGGAATTTGCATGTGGGAATTGTAAACTAATGATGTTAGCTCAGGGGTTATGTCTGCCTCGCTGCTGCAACACATGCTTCTTCAATGCATTGTAATGTAGCATTCTTTAATGCATTATAAGGTCCAACAAAATAGAGCTGGTGCTGCACATGGTAACTCATTTTGCTGCGGATGTGGGTATTCTGCATCTTATGTTGATTTTGTCCCCTTGATGTAGCCTGCGGCCGTGACGAAGAAGAAGAAAACACTATTAAAGTCATTATACAATCCGCATATTCTAGGTTGTTTTTGTGTTCTTTATCATCATCCATGAAATGCTGAAATGGTGGGCTCTCACTAGCCGTGATGGCAACTCCTTAAAAACAAGTTAAAAATGAAAGAACATGACTGGCAGGCAACCACGCTGTCACAAAGTTCTTACCATATTATTATGGTAAAATGTTAATTTTGATCCCTCAACTTAAAGATTTTGGATAGTTTTCCTCTTTTAACTTTTTATGCACTTTTTTAGTTCATCCGCCCAAAAATTATCCACCTTTTTCTTACCATTTTTAGCATGCCTTTTGGCTATTTCTATCGGCTGTAAGTTGGGTGGAATTCTCAGTTGTCCATCTCTGTTCAAATATGAAATGATAGCATGAGCTGTCACACCTAAAGCCAAGTTTAGGCAGATATACTGTTTTTTGGATATGTTTTTTTGTCTGTCATCAATTGTGGACGGTGCACGGGTCATTGTTCAAAGTTCTAATTTAAACGTATGCTATGATGAAAGAGATAACTAGCTGTACCTTACTGCATCAATCTATTGTAGCTAATAGCTAATTTTTGTTGAAACAATTATGCTTTACTCTGCAAATTGAAATTCCTTCCAAGCTGCCTTACAACTCACCTTTGCAGGTGCAAACTACCAACTGCCAGAGTGTTTTGAGTGAGCTAACGAAGATGATAAAAGATGGTTGAAGATCACGTGTGTGAGATTCAACATAGAACATGTATATTGTAACTCTCCTTCTTGTCTCTGAAATCTCTTGTACATTCATAAAGGAGGTTATTTACAGAAGCTGTTTCAAACTGCATCCTGGCAAAGGGAGGTGGAAATCTGAAGGCAAGTAGCCTACTTTGGAGTTTGGATTTCCCATTAAAACACACAAATTGTAGATGAACATGAATTACAAAGATTGTCCAACCAAAAGAAAGAATGTAATCCAGTGAAGCATGACGGCTAGGAAGAAGCAGAAACTTCATTCTGTTCAAGTTAACTATTTCCAAGAATGATAAGATATTGCCTTGCTTTCCCTGCTTAAGTGTTCAGTGTTCGAAGGTGCCAGGAGTTTGATATCTCACCATAAAAGGGTTCCCTGCTTCTGCTGTTTGCAGAGTGCTGGCGACCAAGGAATGATTCTTCTATACTTTCTCTTTGAGGGCACTTTCCACTTCTTGTCTTTTTTCCTTTTTTGCTCCCCAAATTATTTAGAGAAGTGAGACTTCTTTGCTCCGCAGGAGGCCTGCATTGAGAGACCAAAGTATTAAAGGGTGCGATGGTTACGACCTAGCTTATTTAGAATCTAAAACAGGCAAAATGAAATCAACTAAAATAGCAGGGCCATGTAAATTAGCCTCAAATTGCTCGAAATAATCAAGAAAAAAAGCAACAAAGATAGCTAGAAGCACTCCATACTTGTCAAGCCAGAATGAATGCAGGTCATTCAATAATGACCAAGTCTTCTGCAGAGTCTTCCTTATTGCTCAGGTGACCATGATGTCTTTTCCCAAGACCTGATTTTATTGTAACATTAGGCATGATTTAGTTTCTTGATTCAAATTTGAGCAGAAAAGAAGAGGAAGATATGCAAAAACCAAAATCATTAATA